TATATATATATATATATATTTATACGCACACACACATTATATATTACATATAATTATATCGAATAGGAAGCTGTCCCGACACTAGGCTCTGACGTCATTCTTACCGACGCGTCCTCGTTCTCCATCACTTCCATGACACACGCGACGCAGAACGTGGTCACCCTGCCCCCAGGTAAGGCTGCGCGCACCGACCACCGCGGGTCGTGGCCCTGGTGAACCTTCTCATAAAAAATGTCCATGCACGACATTTTTAGCGTTATTCCTGTTTGGGGAAAAAAAATGTTCCTGCACACCAAAAGAAATATTGACCAGGGGCCTGTATCACGAAGCAGTATTTTCCTGCTTAGCCGGATATCTTGTCGGATTTATGGTAGTCTGACCTAAATGCAAGTTAACTAAGATAAAGTCCATTTAAACTGAGGTACCTTAACGCTAACTTAACGCTAGACAATGAACACGGGCTAGTAACATATTGTTATCCCACGCCTGTAAATTAACGCACTTTCATTCATATATAGTTAATTAATTTATTTACACTTTAAATAAATAAAAATCTATAACGGAATGTGTTTACACAAACTTACGTGTTTATGCACAATGACAAATAAAGCCACCGAAAATATTCACCGCCGGTTTAAGGGTTAGCGCTGAACGACGTTTTGGCGGGATTAACACCGACCAATCAGAGCTCAGAGCGGCACTGGGAGACGCTCCATCCGCGGGGCTTTTCAGCGATTCGTCTGGATTCGTATCTTGTGTTTATAATTCAATGTGATTAATTTCACTCCGTGATATTTAAATATCCTGCCGCAAACAAACAACAATTACGCGATTGTATGTGTCTCATTTGGTCCTAAATCTGACCTGATAGTGAAGGGGTTTCCCATGGGTTGCCAACTTTGGTCAGCTGGCTGACGTGAGATTTTCAATTCGAGACAAGTCTGCACACACGTGCACACTCATTTACATGTATGTGAGAGTTTTATTACCTTGTAAATGTCTGTATGGTTTACAAACTATCACAGTGTTTTTGATGTAGATAATTTTGGTTTATCATGGAATAATATAGTTTTGCCGAAAGATTTCTTGCGTGATTGAGTATCTTATGGAGTTTTGATTAAATAGTTGTCTGGGATTAAGACATTTCTGTTTTGTTTGCTAAGTTGTTTTATTATTTCTGGTCAAACCATTTGTCAAAATTAAGCTTGTCAAGGCGACGCATGCTACGTGAACCAATGAGCGTAGCAGCCAGTCCTCAGCCCGCCTGGAGCTGCCAGAAGTGCTGACAGCGCACCCTCAGAACCTGTTTGTATCCATGGCGACGACAGTTTTGTACAACTGTTGCGTATCTCTGAAGGGAGAGAGAGGAGGGGGCGGATTTTTGCCGCAAGCAGACCAGCATGGCTATGCATTTACGTGCAGGCTTCAGTCACGAACACGAGTGTGCACAACCAGACAGTTTGCCCTAATTTTCTGGTTTGGCGGAGTGGACTTGTCTATGGTGATATTTGTACAGTATGTCATCATCTCACAAACACCTACTACGCAGAAATGCTGGAATCATCTAAAAGGCTTTAAAGTAGTATTTTAAATTAAAAATGCACACAAAGAAACAGGTCTTACTGAAGTTGCATGAGATATGATAATCATGTTTTAATACATACTTAAAACAATATATGATGTCTGATTTGATGAACTCCTATGTATGTTATATACTGTCACACAACAATACATGTACTTCCACTGTATTGATTCTGTTTAACAATATAAGCCACATCCGGTTTCATGTTCAATCGTTTATTTCAGCCGTCTCACATTTGCAGGTGAGGTTCTATATTTAATTCTTTTGGGGGGGTTTTCCATAACATTGCTGTCACTTCATATGAAACTGAGAGCCAGACTGTAGGATGCTATTTCCAGAGTTGATGATGTCTACTGTTGTGCAAATCAGATAATCAAAAAAGTTACACTCACTAGTTCTCATATGAAAAATGCCTCTGTTATGGTAAATAATCATAAATAACTATAAGGGTCAAACTACATACTGGGCAATCAAGGACATAAAGAGAACACTAATTTCACTAAGGGCAATTTAGAGGGTGGTTTGTGAGGCTCCCAGTACCTATAATAACAATTCTATTCTTAAAACATTGTTGTAAAGGCCAAGACAACCATTTTCCTTAGCCAGAATCTGGGGAAAGGATGTTGGGATGGGTTCTTTGACTGCTCACCAAGGGTAGCACCGGGTTTTTAATCTAAAGTAGGATGCACTAGCCACATAACATCAAAAAATTGACACGGTTCACTCAAGATATCCTGTGTCACGTCAAATGGTTTCAAAATTGTTAACCAAGGAGTGAGTCATTTTCACAACTGAGCTCTGAAAGACGTCGGTAGGAAGTAACAGTGTTTGGGGCACATTAAACACGGCACAGCCGTGCGGCACTACATGACCAGCTCACTCGGATCAGGGGATCATTTTTCTTTCTTTTTCATGTGAGAAGACAGATAAAGGTATGTGCAGTTCAACCCGATCTTTCATGTTTTTGCTTGAAATCTTCAATCTCTCTCTGACAGCATTTTGGACGGCCACCGCTGACAGGGCTCCCTCACTGCAAACCTCTGTCATTTTGACTTCTAAAAATAGTGGTCAGGTTTTTTTTTTTTTTTTTTAAATATATATATAATGGACAGAAGAAAGCAAGAGATTGCATTTGCATGTGGAAGAGGTGTTTTGTAAGTGCATGTCGGGGGGGGGGGTCAGGTGGGAGGGGGATATAGAAAACAGAAGATGTGACGTGTTGCCAAAGCAGTATAGAACTTGACAGCTGTCCCCATTTGACTCTGATAGCCATTCATAACACTCAGAATGTGAAACACACAGCAAGACCCAAACTACGGGACCATCATATCGTGGCAAGAATCCATTGTGCTCATGGAGCGTGTAATCAAGTTGGGTACCATTCCTGACGAAGAGACACAAGATGACTGGTAAAGCCTTAGCTGAAATTAATCTCCTTTAAGGTTAGTCTGTTTTTTTGTCGGCATGTCTTTGACTGTACTTTTAATAGCTAATGTTCGGTACTATTCTGTGGATTTTGTGGTTTTTCTGAGGGTGTCAGTGCACATTTAAGAAAGGGGAGCACTTTCTGAGCAAATGTTTGGCTGTGGGTTTTGCCCTTATGTATACATTACTATTTGAAAACTGAGGAGCAATGATATCGAGAGCTTATATGTTCTTTGACATTTTCCTTCTCGGCAAGTCCCCTTTGTTGTTGAAAGGAATGCCTATACATCGTGAGAAAAATCCATGTAACAAAAAAACAGGTGAAAAGTTTATCCATGAGAATAGCTCCATAATCGTCATCTACGAAAGGGTTCATAGTAGAACAGGAAAGATTTGTGCTTGTCTTCTGCTCCCGGCAATGAAGTGAATGCTTTAGAATAGGATAATTTGGTGTGTGGTGTCCATTCATATTGGTACAGGGTTTTCCACTTTACAGGGGAACCTTAAAAGCAGTTCACAGGAAGGTCCATAATTAGTCTAATCAAATTGTGTGGGACGTACAGCAAAAACATGTAGACGACACGCAGACGGGGGATGCGTCTTGCGTTTCAACTCTGAAGAACAACATCATGTTTATTTTTGTTCCTTGAAGTACAGCATTTTTAATGAAGAAATGCAGGACAAATGTAATTCTCTGAACTCTTCGTAACGGAGAGCATTCAGTGTGTATTATGACACGTTCACATTTATAGAAAAAAAAAGCAGAGGAAGAAGACAGAAAAAAGACAGGTGGGAGAGGTATTGGGGGGTGTACAGGAAATGGAAATGAGATCAGTTATATACAGAACAAAGAAATACTCAAAGCACATAAATAATGTATAAAATATTTTCAGAGGGTGTTTTGACATTAGCTGAAATAATACATAATTCATCCATGGAATAATAGAGTGTTCGCAGTTCTTTGGTATGGAGCGACTAAGCCAAACAATGTATTTGAAAAGACCAGCAAATTAACAACAGAGGTAGAGGGATAGCTAGCAAACATTTTCCATACACCTCCATTCATTGGTTTATTTTTGGATTTGACGAGCACCCATGATAAATAGGAATGTTCTCTCTCACACCACTTACAGTCACTAAATTCTAGTTCCTAATCTGTAGATGCACACAGATCATCTTCAAAAGTGTTTTCACATTTATTTTATAAACTGCAGGTTTTTTATTCTTGCTAAGCATTGGAAAGTTGAGCGAACAACTACAAATGAAAATATAAATCAAATAAAATGTTTCCTTTATAACATGGAAAGAGTATGTAACAGTGCATGTCTGACATCCTATTAATTGGTCGTGTGGTGATGGCAGAGTCAAATTCTAGGCTGTCCTTTAACTTTAAATGCACTAGTTAACTGTTTCATCCCATGAATCAGAGCAGTATTTAATGTCCCTTGCAGAAAGAATATTCAATTGAAATTTCAAAGTTAAACCCTATAGACATGAATCTTACTGTGTATTTGCAGCAAAAAAACATACCTGAAATAATTCCAGTGCTGTAATAAATGTTATCGTCTAATCTGTACCCTCTTCATTTGCTCTCCTGTCGTCTTCAGCCAGCTCACGCCATTCCTCACGTCCGTCCCTTTCATTCTTCTGTAGGGCGACACGGATCACAGCTGTGGGGATTCATCTTCTGAGGCCTCGATATCCCACAATCCCCTGCTCCCTGACAACCACATTCCCTGTAGCGTAGCCACACCTCCCTCTCCCCTTGTCCAATGTCAATGAGAAAGCCTCCACTGAGGAGGCGTTCCTTGGGGTCCGTCTCCCCCAAGCGTCTGTACAGGAACCTGTCAGTCAAGCTGCGCGGCAGTGAGACCCCCGCTGAGCATGAGCGCTCCAAACACCACCACAAGCCCCTGCACTCTGTAAGAGCCCACCGGCCTCTCTGACCTTCGACGTGGGGGACTACATGTTTCGTGAAAGTGAATTGTAATCTGTGAATATTCTCTGCACCTACTTTTAAATGGTCAAATCATTACTCTGGTCCTCACTTTCAGTTAGAGTATGTTTTCAAATCCCCTCATTGAAACTTCTCTTATTTCTGTGTTTGGTGCACGCATTCTACATGTCTGCCAATACAATAATAAACATAATAATGAATATAATAATCGAACGGTGGTAGGCAGTCCAAATGACTAACATTCCAGCTGTAATAATATTGTTAACAAGCATTTCCTTAATACTCTCTTACGAAAATGTACTTCTCTTTTTCAGTACTACAGTCTATGGGAGGCAGTGGAAAATGAGGACACCTTAGCTGTGAAGAGCATGTTATCAAAGGTCAAAGAGGAGGGCAGAGAAAAGAAAAAGGAGGGAAAGGAACAGAAGAGGGAGGGCGAGTCGGAGGAGTGGGGGGTGAACGATGTAAACGAAGAAGGGCTGGTCCCCCTCGACGTGGCCATACTCACCCAGAATTCCCTGCTGCTGCGCATGCTCATCAAGGCTGGTGCCAGTCACAACCCCCACTGTGAGTCTGGTCCACAGTTTCACTCTGATATACTTCAGACTTGGCTGAGACTTAATTATGATGTCACTTCAGCTTCTGATGATGTAATGTTGTGAATCTGATAATGTAATGTTGTGAACTTAAAGGCACATCTACTGCAACATACCCGAGGGGTGAGGTAGGGCAGAGTGCTGAATGGCACAATAAGAATCCAAGCTCCAGTAAAAGCTCATGTGAGGTTACTCTGAGACAAGGAGGCTACACTTGTGAATAAAAGCTCTCATCCATGTAGGATGTTTCCAGAAGCACATTACTATGGTCAGAGGCCCCTGGGCTATTGGAGTTATTAGAAACCCCTCAACTATTTTATATAATGTTGTAGTTGCTGGCAACGGTAAAAGTTTAAAAGGGATTTTAAATTTAATTAAATAAGGTTAGTTGAGGCCCCTTTGAGCAGAGGCCTGGATAAGCCCATGCATTAAGTGCCCCAGGTGGTTTCTAAAATAAGGTCCTCTGACAAAATCATGGCTTGTTAAATAGATTGTGGTGCGATTCATATTTAAATGCTGTCTTTCACAGTGTATTCCCCCCCTGAGTGGGCAGCCAAGCTGAACACCCTTGTGGAGCTGGCGGGAGCCAAGCAGGGGGAGTGGAAGGGGCTGATGCTGGAGAGGCCTGGTGCCCAGGAACAGGCCAATGCACAGCAGCAGCTTCGGATCTGGACGCTCCGACGGCAGCTCTACTGCAGGATGCGGGACAGCTTCCACCGCACAGGTACGGCCCGGTTCTAGGGTCATGTCTGGTACCGGTACTGGCTGTGTTGGCTTGCTCCTTCAGGAGGCCATCTGGAACAAACAGCTGTACCTCTGTCGTGTCTGCATTTTCGTCTTTATATTAATTACGGCCCATTTAATCGTTCCGCTAAGTAATAATTAGTTTTTATTTCAGGCATTTGGCAGTGCATCTGTCCGATTCATTGACCACAGAGAGCTGTAGGGGGAAAGTGTGTCCTCTTCAGTATTCATAGATGAGTTAGGACTCACTGCCCATGAACAGCAGGGCTTCGGTTCAAATTCCAGGGCCAACAGACTGAGGCCCCCAGGGGTGCTGCATGCTGGCTGACCCTGTGCTGTGGCCCCCAAGCTTGCTGTCACTTGTGAATGTATCTCAAGGCAGCTAGATGGGATAGACAAAATGACAGTATCCCAATGGGGGTCAATAAGATCATTCTATTCTATTCTATTCTATTCTATTCTATTCTATTCTATTCTATTCTATATCATGTAGGGTGCAGGGCTAAAGTAGCAATGCCACTTCC